AATTCTGGTCGCTCATGGAGCAGAAGATCCCCAGTGGAGGAACTACACGGGTCACCAGCGCGACTCCTGTGGCCAGCACAGCGGTTTCGCCGGCACCTCGGCGCGGCAGCTCTCGAAACAGAGTAAACAGGGCTGGCTCCCCTTCTGACTGAGGCTTGGAGGACCCGCACGGGTCCCCAGCACGACTCCTGAGACCAGCACAGTGGCTGTGATGGCACCTCAGCGCGGCAGCTCTTGGCGCAGAGTAAACGAGACTGGTTCCCCTTCTGACCGCCCTGGGAAGGCAGAGTTGCCCATTACGGACACAAGAAGGAAGCCATACAGGACAATCCTGGGCAGAAAAAGCACTATCAGTCTTAAGCCTCCGTTCTGGCCCTGGGAACTAACAACTTGGACGTCCAATCAAGAGACCTAATCTGAAAGTTGGTAATTTCAAAGACGACAGGAGGATAAATTTACAATGATGGGAAGAAACCAGCGTAAAAAGGCTGAGAATACTCAAAGTCAGAACACCTCTCTCTCTCTAAAGATGATCACAGTTCCACATCAACAATGGAACAAGGCTTGAAGGAGAGCTAGCGCATCCCAATGACAGAATCACTCTTCAAGGAATGGATAATAAGAAACTTCTGTGAGTTAAAAGAACATGTTGTAGCCCAATGTAAAGAAACTAGGAACTTTGAAAAAAGGTTTGATGAAATCCTATTGAGAATAGACAACTTAGAGAGGAATATAAGTGAATTAATGGAACTGAAGAATACAATACAGGAACTCTGAGAAGTATGCACAGGTCTAAACACTCGAATTGTTCAAGCAGAAGAAAGGATAACAGAAGTCAAAGTCCAACTTAATGAAAGAAAATAAGAAGACAAGATTAGAGATAAAAGGATAAAAAGGAATGAGCAAAGTCTCCAAGAAATGTGGGACTATGTGAAAAGACCAAATGTACATTTGATAGGTGTACCTGAATGCGATGGAGAGAATGAATCCAAGCTGGAAAATACCCTTCAGGATATTACTCAGGAAAATTTTCCTAAACTAGCAAAGCAGGTCAATATTCAACCCCAGGTAATACAGAGAACACCACAAAGATATTCCTCAAGAAGAGCAACCCCAAGGCACATAATCGTTAGATTCACCAGGGTTGAAACGAAGGAGAGGATACTAAGGGCAGCCAGAGAGAAAGGTCAGATTACCCACAAAGGCAAGCCTATCAGACTTACAGCAGATCTCTCAGCAGAAACTCTACAAGCCAGAAGAGAGTGGGGGCCAATATTCAACATCCTCAAAGAACAGAACCTTCAGCCCAGAATTTCATATCCAGCCAAACTAAGCTTCACAACTGAAGGAAAAATAAAATCTTTTATGAACAAGCAAGTACTCAGAGATTTTATTACCACCAGGCCTGCTTTACAAGAGCTTCTGAAAGTGGCATTACAGACAGAAAGAAACAACCAGTATTAGCCTTACTAAAAATATACCAAAAAGTAAAGAGCACCAACATAAAGAAGAATTTACACCAACAAATGGATCAAACAGCCAGTTAACATCAAATGGCAGTAACCCTAAATTTAAATCGACTATATCCCCCAATAAAAAGACACAGCCAAAACCCAATGGCATGTTACATCCAGACCTGTTTCACATGCAAGGATACACAAAGACTCAAAACAAAGGAATGGAGAAAGATTTACCAACCAAATGGAGAGCAAAAGTAAATAAATAAATAAAAAGCAGGAGTTGCAATTCTTGTAGCGGATAAAATAGATTTTAAAGCAACAAAGATATAGTGGTAAAAGGATCAATACAACAACAAGAGCTAACGATCCTAACACCCAGATACATAGAGACTTAGATTCAATAAGACAGAAAATTAATAAGGATATCAAGGACTCGAACTCAGATCGAGAACAAGTAAATTGAATAAATATTTATAGAGCTCTCCACTTCAAATACATAAAATATATATTCTTGTCAATACCACATCACACCTACTCATAGGTTTAAATGAAACATTGATTGGCCATTATTAATACCCATTTTTTTTCAGAATAAAGCAATATTTCCGTTCACCCTCCCTCTCTCTCTTCCTCTTTCTTTCTCTCCTTTACTCATTTTTTTTCCTTTCCTTCTCTCAAAAAAAAAATCAACTTGTAAACCTCCAGATCCAGGTCGGCAATGTCTCTCTCATTGCTTGAATTTCTTCCTTCCCTTCCCTCCCTCCCCCTCTTCCTCCCTTCCTTCCTTCATCCCTTCCTTCCTCCTTCCCTCCCTTCCTGCCTTCCTCCCTTCCTCCTTCCCTCCCTAAAAAAAAATAAAAAAATAAAATAAATAAAATGGTGTTATTTTATCAAGATAATTAAGCCATCACTACCTATTAATATCAATAGGATACATTGTGCCCTAGCAAAGGGGAGGTTTTGAACTTCGAACAAGACATTAAACTAGGAGTCAGTGAGAAGAGAATGGTTGATGTAGGGAGCTCAATAAAAACATGGGATGGACAATAATGATTTTGCTGGAAAAACAAACACGTCTGTCAAGTCTTAGATATTTTACACACATGCTAATGAGTAATTAAGGGTCACTTCTCATGCCCTGATGGCACAGAGGAAAGAACATGGACTTTAGAAACAGAGAAGTCTTGCTTTGAATCCCAGTTGAGTTACTTAATGGCTACATGACCACTGCCAAGCTACTTAAAATCTCAAAGGGAGTTTCCTTACTGGTGGAAGGAGATAATGCCAAATTATTGCGAGTTATAAGCAGAATAACTTATAGAACTGCCCCAGCCCAGGAGAGATATTTTAATAACTAAGTCCATAACAGATGCAGATTAAAACAGCAAGGTAAAGAAACTAATGACACAGCTAGCTGTCTTCAGTAACATGCCAAAGAGAAATCACACCATCTCAGGCAGTATTTGGTAAGGGCAGAAAAATGTCCAACATTTAGTTCCAATTCTTAACCTTCAAATTGCCCCAGAGTCTATTTTTAAAGTGTAAAAGTATGTGCTGACATACTTACATGCCAACTGTTTAAAAGAAACAATTCCACAGGTTAACAATGGCCAAAGACTCGGAATAACTTCCTAAATAATGTCTATGGGCCCACAAAGAGATGAACCAACCTAAATGTATTACAAGCCATATTAATCAGTTGTATAAGTGTGTATACAAAGGGTTGACAATGTTAAATAAGATGATATTTTAAAAATTTCTAGTTGTTTCAAATTCATCTACAAACCCAAATGCAACATGGAAAATCTTAAAATGATTTTAAACCACATACTGAAATATACAGTAAATTTTCAGAGCCTACGAGATCAGTAGTAAACCGAAAGCCCCACAGTGAAGAGTTTCAAAATGAACAATGGGAGAGACTCAAAGCACACCATTTTAAATGTACCTAATCCGTCGTTTTCCTCTTCGACTAGAAATGATTTCCCTCTCATCTTAAATAAGCAGCGTGTGTTCTATCTGTCCTACAAGATGTACAAGGTCATAAACTCAGTCTGCAACACTGAGATGAACTGATGAGGAAAGTTCCAATCAACAATTAAATTTTGAACGTTTTGAGAAAACCTCCCGGTAAAGCGCTAATTCACACGCCAGCAACTTCGTCGGTGCTGAAAGGGGGAAAGACGCATCCTCATCCTTTATGGAAAGAGAAAGGGAAGGAGTGGGAGAAAAGGGAGACAAGGGGATGCAAAATGGCAAAGCACTGCTTGTGTCGACAAATGAAAGCCTGGTTTTAAACTTCTGAAAACTCCATTTTCCCTCAGCAAATATCAATACATGTCAAAGTATAGGGCAATCATCTGTGTTCTGATGCAGAAAAAGGTGGAGAGAAAAGGAATTTCTTGTACTGAACTCAAAAACATTCAAAATTCATTAATCCCCTCCCACCCCGAAACTCCGGACGTTGTATCATTTCCAAGATCAATGTGACAGAAACCACCGGACTCGTCTCGCACTCGGCGTGGAACTTTCCTGAGTCCTCCCCGCGCTCTCCGCCCCGCGGCCCTCCGGGACAGTCCCGAGTACCCGCTGTTTCGGGGGCTCGCACGGGCTCGCGCCGACCTCCTGGGAGGAGTCCTCGGGGCGTGAAGGGGACCCGGGGGATCTGGAGGACTCGGACAGCAGACCTCCCCTCGCGGCCGGTCTGGACCCCCGGGAGGTGCCTGCGGCGGCGGTGGTGGGGCCGGTTCCCGCGCGGCAGCCGAGCCCGCCGCGTCCCTCCGCGAGCGTCCGCCGCCCGAGCCCCCCGTCCTCAGCCCCGGCGCGGGGAGGGTCCCCTCAGTCCTCAGCCCCCCGCCCTCAGCCTCGGCGCGGGGAGGGTCCCCTCAGTCCTCAGCCCCCAGCTCTCAGCCCCGGCGCCCGGAGGGTCCCCTCAGTCCTCAGCCCCGGCGCCGGGAGGGTCCCCTCAGTCCTCAGCCCCCCGCCCTCAGCCCCGGCGCGCGGAGGGACCCCTCAGCCCCCAGCCCCCCGCCCTCAGCCCCGGCGCCCGGAGGGTCCCCTCAGCCCTCAGCCCCCCGCCCTCAGCCCCGGCGCGCGGAGGGACCCCTCAGCCCTCAGCCCCCCGCCCTCAGCCCCGGCGCCCGGAGGGTCCCCTCAGCCCTCAGCCCCGGCGCCGGGAGGGTCCCCTCAGCCCCCAGGCCCGGCGCCCGGAGGGTCCCCTCAGCCCCCAGCCCCGGCGCCCGGAGGGTCCCCTCAGTCCTCAGCCCCGGCGCCCGGAGGGTCCCCTCAGTCCTCAGCCCCGGCGCCCGGAGGGTCCCCTCAGTCCTCAGCCCCGGCGCCCGGAGGGTCCCCTCAGTCCTCAGCCCCGGCGCCCGGAGGGTCCCCTCAGTCCTCAGCCCCCCGCCCTCAGCCCCGGCGCCCGGAGGGTCCCCTCAGTCCTCAGCCCCGGCGCCGGGAGGGTCCCCTCAGCCCTCCGCCCCGGGGCCGGGCCGTTTCCGCAGCGGGGCTCAGCCTGGGGTGGTTGCCGAGGTCGCCGCCTACCTGGAGGGAGCACGGGCCGCGTCCACCGCGCGCTGCCGGGGGCCGCCGGGCGCTAGCAGCTCCTGGAGCGCGGAGCCGACACAGCGAGCGCTTCGCAGGAGCCCCGAGCCCCGAGCCCCGAGCCCGGAGCCGCCGGCCACACCCAGCCCCCCGCCTAGCAGCAGCAACTCGGCGCGCGCCGGGACGGGCGGGGACGTGTCGGGGGCGCGCAGACCCTCGGAGCGCGCGCGGCCCGGGCCGGGGGCGAAGGGGATGGGCGCCGCGCGCAGCTTCTGCTTCCTACTTTCCGTCTCGTTTCCTGCCGCAGGGAGAAGAACGTTCACTCCCGCAGTTTCGTTTTCTCGGGGTGCGGCGCCCGAGCCCGCCGCTAAGTAGCGCCCGTCTAAGTAAGTGGCGCCCGTTTCTTTCCCGGCGCTGGCGGGCGCCGCGTGGCGGGAGCGGGCGCGGGCGCGAGGGGCGGGGCTGGAGACCCCACGGTTCCCTCGAGGCCCCCCCCCGCCCGGGTTCTCCACGCCCCGGAGTCCGCCGAGGCCGAGTCGCGCTGCCGCCGCCAGCTGGACACCGTGGGCGTCTCGGGCCCAAGTTTCTCATCCGCAAACAAGGATCGGGGCACCTGCCTCAGAAAGTGCTGAGCGTGTTAAATGAAGTGATGCTGCACGAAGCCTGCCGCCAAATAAACGGCCGGCACTTGAAAGTTACTGTCCCATTGTCTCTGATGACACTGGAGGGCCTTCCAGACCTCCCTGCCAGGGCGCTCTTCTCTGCAAGAGTTTTACACCACGTGCATCTCCATCGAGCGTTCTTTTTCCCCACATTTTTCTGGGTGTTTTATGTTTAAAATGTTATAAAATAAACGCATCTATCGAATTTGCTTCCTCTGTAGTCAGTACCGCCTGGGAGCATTTTTCCTCTCCCCACCCCCATTTTTCTTCTGAGTTCATTCCAGTTTGACAGACTGTTGCTATAGCATTCCTTCTCTGACGTCAAACAATTTAAAGAAACAGCCCTGGGTAGCGAAAACTGCAGAGGAGTTTTTGGTGGAGTTTCTGTGCCGGAGAGAGGTTTGGACAACATCAGCAGATAACTTAATACCCCCGCAGCCTTCCAATGCTTCCTCTCCAGCTGCTTCCCACCATCACCTGGAATAAGTCTATTAGTCCCTTGAAAGAGGTGATGCCATGATAGGCACACCCTGATGGCGACTGTGGAGAAAATGTGCCGGTTTTGTGTAAAAGCCAGGCCATGACAAACAGCAACAGCCATGGTCCTAGGATAAAAAAACTGGATAGTTTCTTCCTCAAAATTTTCATTTTCACTAATATTAGGAGCATTTTTCTATTCAAAAGAAAGGGAAGAAATGCCAAATATTCTGCATATCGATGTGTCAGAAGAGCTCGTTGGGACATTAGTGTTTTGCATCTGTAACTATTTATGATTTAATTATTCAATCTTGAGCTTTATCATTGTCATTTTTAGGAGGAAGCAAAGGGAAATAGTTGCCTTGGTCCATAAATTGCCTATTATGGACCAAGCTCTCTGCTTTCTTATAGTTTACTTAATCCTCATAATTACCTCGAAGTGTGAGTTTCATCCCCATTTTACAGATAAGCAAACTGATCCCCTAGTAAGATTAATTTATCAGAGTCACGGAGGTACTGGCAGAGCCTTGCATAACATCAGATTGGATCAACTCCAAAGCTTGCTTCCTTCCTTCCTTCCTTCTTTCTTTCTTTTCTTTTTTCTGTCTTTCTCTTTCTTTTCAGTCACTTTTTCACCCAGGCTGGAGTGCAGTGGCACAATGTCGGCTCCACCTCCAGGTTCAAGAGATTCTGGTGTCTCAGCCTCCCAAATAACTGGGATTACAGGCATGTGCCACCACGCCTGGCTAATTTTTTGTATTTTTAGTAGAGACAGAATTTCACCATGTTGACCAAGCTGGTCTTGATCTCCTGACCTCAGGTGAACCACCTGCCTCTGCCTCCCAAAGTGCTGGGATTACAGGAGACCATGCCTGGCCCCGTATTCTTTCTTCAGATTCTTTGCTGCCTTGTTCCTTGCGCACTTGCATTTACCAGATGCTATAATGCTTTGAGAGGTGGTTGTTGGGTTAAGATTATTTGTTGAAACACAAGTTGCTGGTATTTACGAAAACCCAGTGGGAAGCACTGAGATCGTCTATTCCAGAAAAGATGAGGGGAAATATAAATGAACAGATCCCAAACATAAAATACAAAACCAGAAAAGATGAACAAGAATTTGACGGTCTTCTGAAGAGTTTAGAAGAAATGATAACATCAACCTTCCTGAAAATTTAATGTAGACAAAGAAATTACTAGAAGAATGAAGTCCAAGTACAGAAAAACGAAAGCTTAATTATTGTCCAAACGAATCTACTTCCAATAATATTATATTTCTGTTTTGCCACATCTGCTGCATATTTTTCTGGAAAAAAACTTGCTTGTTAAAGGACAAGCATATACTGAAAATCTGAAAGTAGTCTGAAGGTGGAGTTGATTAAAAGAATTTCATTATCAGGAACAATTTCATAACAGAATATTAATGCATCTGAGAGATCCAGCAATTCATAATTTTTCCAATTATAATGAAATCCATAAAGAACAAAAGAGAGAAAAAAAGAAGGGAGGTAGAGAGAAGGGTGAAGGGGTATGCTATTAACACTTCTGCTGCCTGCTGGTTTGTGTAGGCAGCTGTAGAGACGTGTCCTCCTTCTAAAGATTAAGCTCCAGGATGTTTTGTTTGGGTGCCATTGGCTGATCATTAGATTTCTAACTCATTAGGCCCATGTACTCAAATCCTACTCTATTAAGAGAGCATGGTGGGGTCCCTGCTAGAGAACCTTTGGAGACAAAATCCTTGTCTGTTTCATCTTTATGTCCCCGACAGTGTTGAACAGAGCACCTTGCACTTACTAGGTACTCCAGAAACAAATAAATGAGTGAATGCACTTGGTCGCTTGTTTTATGCAAATAACCTCCATACCTCACCCCATGCCATACACTAGTCAGAATTATAGGATGGGAGAAAGTGATCATTGCTTTTCTAGGAGTTCAGTGACAGTTACTTTTACAGGGTGTTTTGCTTCACTATGATCAAATTCAGAGAGGCTCTGCTCTTGGTCATATATTGGATGAATCTGAATGCTGTACTCAGTGAGCTACCCTGTAATCCATAGCGCCTTCGGTCTGTATATTCTGCTTTTAAGTTTGACCCTAGAAATGGTCTCTCTTTTTTTCTGAGCCTACTTTGCTCTCAGACAATGTCAAGCACACCAGGAAGAACAGACCCATTCAAGTTAAAATATTTCAGTACTGCCCCATATGTGTTGTATGCATTCCATTCTGTTGTGTTTGAAATGAGGCCAAAGTATATACATGCAACATCGTAAGCACAGTCACAGATTTTCTGTCACCCACAACAACATAATGGAAATTGTCTAACAGGATCTACAGCACAGTTCCCCAAGGACGTGAGAAGCAATTCCCTAGAAGATTCTGTAAGAAGTCAGTCTATGTGTGGTTTCAGACTGACATCCTTGATACAAAGGAGGCATGTCCAAAGCCTTCCCTCTTGCTCACACACAATGTATCTTCCATATCCAAGTACAGTTTGTGGCTGGGCATGGTGGCTCACTCCTGTAATCCCAGCACTTTGGGAGGCCGAGGCAGGAGGATCACAAGGTCGAGAGTTTGACATCAGCTCAGACAAGGTGGTGAAACCCCATTTCTACTAAAAATACAAAAATTAGCCATGCATGGTGGCAGGCGCCTGTAGTCCCATTTACTTGGGAGGCTGAGACAGGAGAATTGCTTGAACCCGGGAGGCAGAGGTTGCAGTGAGCTGACATCACACCACTGCACTCCAGCCTAGTGACAGTGAGACTCCATCTCAAAAAAAAAAAAAAAAAGTACAGTTTGTACTTTGAGTCACCTTTGCTGTACTCCTCTGACACTCATGATATAAATCAGTTATAGCTTTTGTCTCTTCACACTCAGGTTCTCATTAGCCATCGCAATTCGGAATCTGTCATCTGAGTGCATCCCAGTGAACTTAGGAGAAGCCAGTGACAGGCGTGGAAGAGGGAAGTGGAAGCATCTAGGCATACATCTGTTGCTCTAGGCTCTGTCGTTCAGGTCCGTGGAATCTACTATTGAAAAGGGACATGGCAAAGGGAAAAACACTAAACTGTACATCTGAAGACTTGGTTTAGAGCTTTGGCTCTGATACTAAATATCTGTGTGATCTTAAGCAGATCTTACCCTGCCCACATTCTGTCTTAATTATATAAAATGAAGGTGCTGAATTCTAATATGATTGATAAATAGACAACATTGGTGCCATCTCTCAGTACTGTGTCCAGGTTGACTTCACTAATCAATCATGGACTCTTGCCCTCTAAGCTTCATTCCATCCCGAGAACTCTTCTGAACACCACATTTTCAATAGGAAGTCTGATCTGTTTAGGTGAGTTTAAAAATGAGATGACATATTAGTTATCTACTGCTCTATACATCTCACCAAACCTAGTGGATTAGGACAACAACAATTATTCAATTTGCTCGTGTGTTTCCAATGTGGGCAGGGCTTGGCAGACCTGTTCTCCGTTCCATGCAGCCTCAGATAGTTTGACTCTTTTTCATATGGCCCTGTCACATGGCTGGCAAGTTGGTGCTGGCTGCTGGCTGGAAGATCAGCCAGGTGTGTGGGCAGAAACTTAAGTTCCTTTTCACGTAAGTCTTTCCACAGGCTACTTGGAATTCCTCACGTTAGAGTGGCTGTGTTCTAAGAGCAAGTGTTCCAAGAGAACAAGGAGGAAGTGCATAGCGTTTTTATGACTTAGCTTCAGCAGTCACACAGTGTCACTTCTGCCATCCGCACTTGGTCTAGGCGGTCACAAATTCATGTAATAGGGACATAGATCTTTCTTTTTTTATTTTAAGACAGGATCTCTCTCTGTCACCGAGGCTGGAGTACAGTGGCACAATCTCGGCTCATTGCAACCTCAGGTGATTCTCAGGCCTCCTGAGTAGCTGGGATTACAGGCATGTGCCACCACATATGGCTAATGTTTTCATACTTTTGTAGAGATGGGTTTTACCATGTTGCCCAGGCTGGACAGACT